AGCTCAGCAGGTTTGGCAGCATCTGTGAACAAAAATCAGAGTTAACGTTTCGGGTCCGGTGACCCTTCCTCAGAACTGATGGTGGCTGGGAAAATGTCAGTTTATATGCAGAAAGTAGAGATGGGCTAGGGAGTAAACAATAGGGTTTAGCCTGAAGAGAGGAAAGAGCAGTTGGATAGACAAAGCAGTTGATAACGATCTGGCTAGGAGGGTGAATAGTTGTTAATCCTAACATTGGGTGGATTGAGTTTTCCCAATTTCCAAGCATGGACATAAATCCATACTCCACATACAGTAAAATCTAACTAAGTGTGAAGCTGTGTTGGTGGTTATAATATTATTGTTGGTAGTTAAGAATGCGTTAAAATCATTAATGGACAGCAGTGAATGGACACAGATGTTTAAATAGACTGTTTCGCGTCTAACTCATTTTTGATCATACCTGGTGACAACACCCAGTACAGAACTGATCACTGGACTATCACAACAGTCACTACACCATATGAACATCAATGCATATCAATCACTAACCACTTAATTCCCTGCTCCAGCACCATCCTGACAACAGCTGAATTTCTCACTAAATCTTAATATCCAAGTCTCTCATCATTCCTTCAAAAGGAACTTCTGAACTGCCAAAGCAAAACTAAATCAAATGAGAATGACTTTGAAGACTTTTTTTGCACCCTAACTATTTTTGGGGGAAGCATTCCGCACCTGAATTCTTCACTAGTTGTAGAATCATTCCAAATAGCAGGCCAATCAGCCCATTGTGCCGGTCTTTGAGAGACCTATCCAATAATGTCCCACTCACCCTGATCTTTCTCCAGAGTCTTGCAAATATGTCGCCTTCAAGAATATTTCCAATACTCTTGAAAATTGCGACTCCATCATAATCAAAGTTTTAAACACACAAATTTTCAAATGGAATCTTTAGAAAATGAATCACACTCTAAAGTGACCTGCAAAGAGTTTTTACGTAAAAAAGCACCTAAAGATTTCAAGGTTTAATAATGCCTTAAGTCTGCATTATGTTAAATAGCATTAGGTAGTGAACAGGCTATATTGCTGCCATTGAAACCCCCTCCCTAATGGCATTTTGGAACAAACAACAGCAGGTGTACGCAGTGGTTCAACAAGGCAGCTCACCACCACCTCCTTCTCAAAGACGAGGGATGGGCAATAAATGCTGACCCAGTCAGCAATGCCCACCGCGCTCAAGTGAATTAATAAAGAAAATCAATGAATCCCAAAACCAGACACAGATCAATTGCTATTCCAGATCAGAGCTTAGTCTCTGTTGATATTTCTTACCCTCGTTACTATCAGAAACAGCGACAGATTCACCCAGCCCTCCCTGACCAAATGAAAAGAGGCTTCACTGTCTGTCCCTCAAACATGTTCTTCTTCAACAACCCCTTGTGCACTGCTGGAATGTTAACCTCAATATTAGGTTCAACTGTTTCAAAAACTTTCCCCAACCTGCATTCATCCTTGCTCCACCACCACCCCCCACCACAAAGTAAAAGATTAAAATGAAGTTTTATTAGAGAAAACTTGAGATCCACAGTTAAACAAGGAGTTAAAAACAGTGGATTCAGGATTAACCA